CAAAAAGCCACGGCCAGAGAATGTACCAAGAGCTGGAGCGGAGGTCAGAATCCAGGGATCTGGGGTGCCGAGAGAGCAGGCTGATCCAGGGGAGCCAAGGTACACGGAGGAGCACAGCAGGAAGGAAGGTGGCTGGGCGCAGCAGGCAGAGGAGCAGGTAAATTGGTCACTGGACAGGGAGAGCACAAGGTTAGAATTAGCAACAAACACTTAGAGATCAAGGTTAGCTAGAGGGTTAACAACGGCGGTAGAAATAGACGACGAACTGGCGAGTACTGGATGAGGGAACCGGGTTTATATGCAGGTGTAGGTGAGTAGTTGCAATCAGGGTGACGAGCAGCAGCTGAGGAGGTGTGGAGGCGGGAATCCAAAAGTAGGTCAGCCACGCCCAGCCAGGAAGACAGACAAAAACAAACACAGAGGGGAAAAAGAGGGAGGCAGAACTGTAGATCCTCACAGTACCCTCCCCTCAACGGGAGCCTCCTGGCGACCACCAGGCTTGTCCGGATAAGCCCTGTGAAAGTCCCTCACCATAACAGGGTCCAGGATACGTGAACGTGGGACCCAGCAACGTTCCTCGAGGCTGTACCCATCCCAGTCAACCAAGCACTGCGAGCCCCTTCCCCCGGCGCCTGAGATCCATGAGACGGTGCACGGTGTAGGCAGGATGGTCATCGATGACTCGGGGGGGAGGAGGGGGAACAGTTGGAGGGCGTCGCTGGTGTGAACTGGTTTGATTTGGGACACGTGAAAAGTGGGATGGATTTTCATGGTTCTGGGGAGCTTCAGGCAGACAGCAGAGGGGTTAATAATGCGCTCAATGGGGAAGGGGCCAATAAACAACTTCTTTGACTCTGTAAAGAGGGGGATATTTTTGGAAGATAACCAAACAGACTATCCAGGGGTGTAAGGGGGAGCGGCATGTCTGTGGCGGTTGGCTGACTGTTGGTTTCTGGCGGATGTCCGGAGGAGAGCAGAGCGAGTGTCCCTCCAAATCTTACGGCACCGATGAACATGTTGCTGGACGGATGGAACTGCCAACTCACTCTCCTCTTCAGGAAACAGGGGTGGTTGGTACCCTAAGGAGGCTTCAAATGGAGAGAGACCAGTAGCAGAAGAAGTGAGGGAATTGTGGGAATACTCTACCCAGGGTAGATGGGAGCTGCAGGTTGATTGATTACGGTTGGCTACGCAGCGGAGAACAGATTCCAGGTCCTGATTGGCCCTTTCAGTTTGGCCGTTAGACTGGGGATGATATCCAGAGGTTAGACTGACTGATGCACCAAGAGAATGAAAAAAATTCTTCCAAACCTGAGAGGTGAATTGAGGGCCACGGTCGGAGACGATGTCAGCCGGGATTCCATGCAGACGGACGACATGCTGGGTGAGTAATTTGGAGGTCTCCAGGGCTGAGGGGAGCTTGGGCAGGGCTACAAAATGGGCACATTTGGAGAAACGGTCAACAACAGTAAGAATCGTTGTGTTACATTAGCCGCGTTCACACCAAGTACTTTGTCATACTTAGTGCCGGCACTCAGTGCGTTCACACCGGAATAAGTTCCCTGAGGGAAGATTACGCAAATGAGCCGCTGACGTCACTTCGTCTTCTTCTGCTTTGGGTTTACTGGCAGGCCGCAAACCACTTCACGGTGTATACTGCCACCCGAAGTCCCCGGCCGGAAGTCCCCGGAGTTGGGGACTGGCTTCAGTAGAAGCTGCTGGGACCCCCAGCAGCTTCTACTGAAGCCTTCCGAGTAAATCGCCAGAACGCCGACACCTCCTCATCTCCACCGCTCCCATGTTTTATTTTGTGTTGCCATAAGTTAGTCTCTCTGCGTTTGGGCGCTGGGCGAATGCTAATGCTAATAATGCTAATGCGAGGATAATAAAATGGCGGCTCTACAAAACATTTCAGAGTTTTACGGGGCATGGTTTGCAATTCGCCCAGCCAATCAGAACTGGGGCACTTTTTTCCCCCAGGAAAGTACCATCTCTCAGCAGGCACTAAAAATGGGGGTAAAAGTTCCCGGCACTAAGTACTCTTTTTGGTGTGAACGCGACATAAGGGGTACTAACGGAACTAAACGCGAAAAGTACGTGGAAAAGTACTCCGGTGTGAACGCAGCTCTTGTGAGGGAGGTAGGCCGGTGACAAAGTCCAGTGTTATATGTGACCAGGGTCGACTTGGAATAGGAAGGGGCTGGAGCAATCCCGCAGGTCTCTGATGGGATGAGACTGGAGAGAGGAGCTGCAACCTTACTGTAGTTCTTGATGAAACGGCGGTAGAAATTGGCAAAACCCAGGAACCTTTGCAACTCCCTCCGAGTTGTGGGGACTGGCCACTCAGTGACAGCTTGAATCTTTCCTGGATCTGCCTCCAACCTGCCTTGCCTGATGAAATAACCCAGGAAGCTGACCCGTTCCTGGTGAAACTCACAATTCTCTGTCTTGATAAACAGTTTGTTTTCCAGCAGCCTCTGTAGGACCTGGCGGACGTGGGTCTGGTGTTCCTCCAGGCTCTTGGAAAAGATCAGAATGTTGTCAAGGTACACAAAAACACAATGGTTGAAAAAATCTCGCAAGACATCATTGACTAGGGCCTGGAAGACAGCTGGGGCATTAGTGAGCCCGAAGGGCATGACAAGATATTCAAAGTGACTAAAGGGGGTGTTAAAGGCAGTCTTCCATTCATCGCCTTGACGGATACGAACCAGGTGGTATGCATTCCTGAGGTCAAGCTTAGAGAAAATGGTGGCACCTTGGAGAGGCTCAAAAGCAGAGTTTAGCAGGGGTAGTGGGTATTTGTTTCTTACTGTGATGTTATTTAAACCACGAAAGTCAATACAGGGTCGGAGTGACTTGTCTTTTTTGTCAACGAAGAAAAACGCAGCACCCAGAGGGGAGGAGGAAGGGCGAATTATTCCAGAAGCCAGGGAGTCACTGATATATTTCTACATGGCTTCTCTCTCTGGCCGGGACAGGTTATAGAGTCTGCTGGTTGGTAATGGAGCCCCAGGAAGCAGATCTATGGGACAATCATAGGGACGGTGAGGAGGGAGAGAGAGAGCCTTATCCTTGCTGAAGGCCTCTCTCAGGTCGTGGTAAACATCAGGTACACCGGATAAATCTACTACTGCAGAGGCACAGGGAACAGGCTTGGGGTGAACAGAGACAGGTGGCATTGCAGACTGCAAACAGTTAAGGTGACAAAACTGATTCCATTCAATTATTCTACCTCCAGCCCAATCTATTGGCACATTTCCACTACACGGCCTCGCTCGGTATGGCTAGGCCTCGTCAGGCCTTGTTAGGACTGGCTCACTTTATGGCGCATTTCCATTACAGTTTACTAGCTGGGGCAGTATCTATAGTAACGCAGTGTAGGCGGAGCCGTGACGTCATCTTCAATGAGAACCCCAGAAAAACAACATCAGCGGTGTAATGTTGTGACATACTCTTTGGTCCGGAGTTGTGAATACCCGGAATGTTATATGTGTGACACCAGTTATGATGTAGTCGAGAGCGTGAATAAAGCACGGCTAACGATACTCACTGTCTCCTGAGTTGTCTATAATAAAGCAAGATACACATACAAAAGGACAACACTACAACTGGCGACGAGGATGCCGCAACACATCGCAGAATGAGGGAAGAGAAATAAAACACCCACAATTCTGGATAAGCGGTAAGCGAACTACGCTGGCTAACACATAAGGCTAACAAGCTAGCCAGCCACGAGACGCACCATGGCCAATCTCCCACATTTCCCGCAGTTTGATGTGCACACTGAACCCAGCTCTGTAGGCTCGAGGTGGAAAAGGTGGATTAAACGGTTCACCAACTTCCTAGTGGCATTAGATATAAAGGAGGATACACAAAAACGTGCGCTATTGCTGCACTATGCTGGATCAGACGTGTATGACATATTTGACACGCTGCCAGGAACGGGAGACGCTGATGATTACGATACGGCCATAGCGAGCCTGCAAACCTATTTCTGCCCCAAAGTAAATACTGAATATGAGATCTATATTTTCAGACAAGCCAGGCAAAATGACAGTGAGACATTGGATGCTTTCCACACGCGACTGAGACAGTTGGCGTCAACATGTGACTTTACCGACACTGATAAGGAAATAAAGTCACAGATTATTCTAAGCTGCAGTTCCGCGCGCCTCCGCAGGGCGGCGCTAAAGGACAGCGACATGACACTTCAAAAACTACTGGATGCAGGCAGAGCTCAAGAACTGTCAGACAAACAAGCTGCAGGTATGGAGACAGGAAGATCACAAAAAGAATTCCCAGTGCATGCTGTACAAAAGAAAAGCTTCCAAAGTCATAAACAATTCAATAAATATAATAATGTGAAGCATGAATACAAAACCTGCAACAACTGTGGTGGACATTTTCCTCATGAGGGAGGACAAGCAAACTGCCCAGCAAAGGGGAAAGATTGTAAAGCATGTGGAAAATTAAATCATTTCCAAAGATGCTGCAGATCACAAAACAAAGATTATACCCCTAAAGCTGCAGAAAAACAACAACATTACCGACCGAAATACAAAGTGCATCAGGTGCAGAAACAAACTGAGCAAAAGACACAGAGACTAGACACTCCAGACAGCTCAGCAGAAGATGACTATGTGTATATTGTATGCACACTGCAAGACAAAGCAGAACACAAACGTACACAAATAAAAATTGTGGACACAGTAATAAATGTTATTGTTGACTCTGGTGCGACAGTGAACATATTAGATGATGTTTCCTATGAAGAGCTAAAAGCCAGTTGCGAACTGCAACCATCTGCTGCCAAGATCTATCCATATGGCTCATCCACTGCTCTTCCTTTGAGAGGAAAATTTGCAGTCCATTCAACTACTTCAACAGTAAATGCAGCTACATTCTATGTGATACAGGGTGACCATGGCTCACTGCTGAGTCGAAAGACAGCAACAGAAGTAGGACTTCTGAAAGTTGTAAACTCTATGTCCACGGAAATGCCTATTTCATTCCCAAACCAGCTCCTCCATGAGTACCAAGACATCTTTCAAGGCATAGGAAAACTCAAAGATTTTCAAGTGAAGCTACACATTGATGAGTCAGTGCAACCTGTGACACAGCCACACAGGAGGATTCCTTTCCACATGAGAAAAAGAGTGGAATCAGAATTAAACCAGCTACAGGAAAAAGGAGTCATCGAGAGAATCAGTGGCCCAACGCCATGGGTGTCTCCGATAGTTGCTACACCAAAACCAAAGAACCCTGACAAAGTTCGCATCTGTGTGGATATGCGCCTGCCGAACACAGCAATACAGCGAGAGTGCCACATCACACCAACGGTGGATGACCTCATCCACGACCTGAATGGAGCTGTAGTATTCTCCAAGCTGGATCTGAATGCTGGATACCATCAACTTGAGCTACATCCAGATTCAAGGTATATCACCACCTTCACTACACACACTGGCCTCTGGAGGTACACCAGACTGAACTTCGGCATTAACTCTGCCGCTGAAGTGTTCCAAAATGTCATTCAAGGAGTGCTACATGGCATTCCCAACGTCAGGAACATGAGTGATGACATCATTGTGTATGGGAAAACACAAGAAGAGCACAACAGTAGCCTCAAAGCTGTTTTTCAGAGACTGAGGGAGAAAAATATCACACTCAATGCTGATAAATGTGAATACAGTAAACCAGAGCTTGAGTTTTTTGGCTATATTTTCTCTGCAAAAGGCATATCTGCAGATCCTAAAAAGATCACTGCCATCAAGAACCTTCCTCCACCCCAAAACGTATCAGAGGTTCGTAGTCTGCTCGGGATGATAACATACTGCTCACGTTTCATTCATGACTATGCCACGATCTCTGAACCGTTACGTCAACTAACAAAAAAAGACACTACTTGGTCATGGGGACCACAACAACAGTCAGCAATGGAGAGGCTAAAATCAGAGCTGATGGAAAACACTACAATGGCTTACTTTGACCCAAGGAAGAAATCCAAACTACTGGTTGATGCCAGCCCTGTTGGTCTAGGTGCAATACTCAGCCAGCACAGCCCTGACAAAGAGGGTAATGACCACATTGTTGCATATGCCAGCCGAGCACTCACACCAGTGGAACAGCGCTATTCTCAAACAGAGAGAGAAGCTCTGGCAATCCTCTGGGCATGTGAACACTTCCACCTATATCTCTATGGGTCACACTTCACGGTCATCACAGATCACAAACCGCTTGAACTGATCTTCAACAACCCAAAAGCCACACCCCCAGCTCGGTTAGAACGCTGGCGGCTAAGACTACAACCATACAGCTACATTATCAAGTACAAAGCTGGAAAAGATAACCCGGCTGATTACATGTCCAGACATCCTATTGAGGGAAACATACCAAGCAGATCGTCTCGCATGGCTGAGGAATATGTCAACTTTGTCATCGACAATGTTGTTCCAAAGGCAATGACACTTGAAGAAGTTCAAACTGAAACAAAGAATGATCCTACATTATGTAAAGTGATGCATTTTTTGAGTGCAGGACACTGGAGACATGCACCACAGGACTCAGACTACACTGATTATCCAATGCTGAAAGCACTCTACCGCCTACGAAACGAACTGACAGTCAACGCTGAAGAGAATGTCATTCTCAGAGGAACACGACTTGTGCTACCTACCTCTCTCCAACATAAGGCAATAAGCCTAGCCCATGACGGTCATCTTGGCATTGTTAAGACCAAACAACTGGTAAGAGAAAAGGTATGGTTTCCAGGCATAGATGAAATGGTGGAAAAGATGATAAAACACTGCATACCATGTCAAGCAGCAACCTCCCAGAATCACATGGAACCACTTAATATGTCTGAACTTCCCAAAGGTCCATGGCAAAATGTTTCTATTGACTTTACAGGACCTTTCCCATCAGGTGATTACCTGCTTGTGGTTATTGATGAGTATTCCAGGTTCCCCGAAGTTGAGATAATAAAGTCCACAGCAGCCACTACAGTGATTCCCAAACTGGACAGAATCTTCTCATCCTATGGTATCCCCCATGTGGTGAAAACAGATAATGGACCTCCATTCAATGGACAGCCATTCAAAGATTTCAGCCACTATCTCGGATTCAAACACAGAAAAATAACACCGTATTGGCCGAGAGCTAATGCAGAAGCTGAACGCTTCATGAAAACATTGAAGAAAACAATAACAGCCACACACACTGAAGGAAAACCATGGAAACAGAACCTCTACAGTTTTCTTAGAAATTACCGTGCATCCCCACACGGTACTACACAGCTGACTCCTGCCGAGTTAATGTTTGGGAGAAAACTCAACACCACTCTCCCCACTCTTCATGTGACTCAACATCACACACCTGACACCAAACTCCAAGATATTGATCAGCGTGCCAAGCAGCGCATGAAAGAGCATGCCGACCGCAAAAACAGAGCTCGACCTTCGATCCTCAAACCAGGTGACATTGTGCTATGCCGTCAGAATATCAAAGGCAAGCTCATGACTCCTTATAGAAGCAAACCTTACACCATCGTGAAGATCAGAGGATCAATGGTGACAGCAGCTCGCCCAGGACATGAGATAACACGAAACTCCTCACACTTCAAACTGCTCCCACCTTCAGTTCCTATTGGATCTGACTCAGGAATGACTGACGAAGAGGATGATCTGGATCTACAACTTCCTGACCCACCAGATGAGGAAACTCATCAGCTCCAAAATGAGAATATCAACCCCGAAGGTCCTGTTCCAACCAGATATTCAATCAGAACAAACAGGAGACCACCACAACGTCTCATTGCTGAAATATGACTTAAAGAAGTCAAGAGACTGCAGATAGTTTAACAATTACAAAAAGGACATTTTTGCTAGTAACAAAGAAGACTCAGTCATTTAAGTTAAAACATTGAGACATTCATTTCTTTATTTGATTACTAAGAATAAGAGACCTTTCTTACTGAAATTCTTATTTACATTTCGTTAATATCAAAAGTCAATGTTCATCTGAAATAAGGGAGGGATGTAATGTTGTGACATACTCTTTGGTCCGGAGTTGTGAATACCCGGAATGTTATATGTGTGACACCAGTTATGATGTAGTCGAGAGCGTGAATAAAGCACGGCTAACGATACTCACTGTCTCCTGAGTTGTCTATAATAAAGCAAGATACACATACAAAAGGACAACACTACAAGCGGTTAGCTGTTAGCACTCAAGCTCACAGCTCCTCATATCTGTTCAGAAACTAGACAAAAGTTAAACAAGTACAAACCACAGACTGCCTGTGTCATGGCGAATACAGTCGCTGGTTTATTTATGTCTGTATAGGCCGTTGTTGTGAGTGTGGACGGTCGGAGCATATACTGCGTTAGCTTAGCCAATCTCCATTTAGACAACACGCATTTTAAAAGGTTTTTCGCCTGCCGTCTGTCTGCAGACTTGTCAAAGCATTAATTCATGGTTTTTACTAACCGGTATCAGTATGTTGTTACTTCGGCATCATTTTGAAACGTGTATTACAATTAAATCACAGTAAAATATGTTCATCTTGTTGTAGTTGTAGCCCCCTTGCCAGCGATTCTCTCTCTAGTTTAGCATACTCAGCCCGACTCAGCCTGGTTGTTGGCCCGGAAAGAACCTCAATTTTATGGGGCCAGAAAAACTGTGAAATAGTACCCGCTAGCCGGTACTACGCTAAGTGGAAACGCAACCAAAAACGGGCCCCGCACGGCTCTGCACGCTTAAAGCGAGCTCCGCGCTGTAGTGGAAATGCGCCATATATGTGGGTTGTGGGTGCGAAGCCAAGGGTAACCAAGAAGAACCAAAGGGGTAGCAGGGGCGGAAATGACCTTAAGTTGAATGAGTTCTCTGTGATTTCCAGAAATGATCAGGGTTACGGGTTGTGTCTGCTCTGTTACCTTAGAAATCCTTTGTCCATTTAGGGCAGGGGTGCCCAACCTTTTTTTAACCAAGAGCTACTTTTAAAGTTGCCAGTCTGCCGAGATCTACCAGTCCAAATAGAGATGCGTAGCCATTACTGACAGCCTACTACCAGGTAAATACACACTTCTACTTGTATAAAATTGACCTTTGTACGATTAATACTTCATATAATACTGCAGATCCTTTATCTTACCTCTTTCTAATCTACACACATACAAGTATTTAACTGAAGTTACACAACAGTGTTGTTGATACAGAGTTGGAGTTTATTCACACGTCACATACTACAGTGGGTAATGTTTTCAAGAAACATTGAACAGTGCTGCCACATATGACACAGGAAAAAAAGAAAAGACTCTGAACCCTTTCTTTGCCATTTATATAAAAATAGTGTTGCTACAAAAGTATAAATTAGGCTTACTAATAAGACAACTCAGATCTGAAGCTAGGAATCTGCTGCCAAAGTGCAATAAAAAAGACAAAATTAATAGAATCAAACCCTTTTTTTGTTGCATTTTAGTAGAGTATAAAAAGAAATGCCTTTAAAATAGGATGCAAGCAACACTAGTTTCTTAACCTGAATTGATAATAGACTATAATCAATTTAAGTTTGCATTCTTATACCATTTTGTACAATAATTATAATGAATAAGTTCAAACAAACTAAAACTTACAGCTGATTAATAACGGTATCTAAGTTGAGTTTTTATTATATCAAAACCCTGTTGAAATGCTACTGTTATTTTTACTGTCCCCAAAAAGCGCGTCGGCAGCCTCCGGGAATGCTTCTTTCACAACTTCGCCGTCTTTGAAAGACTTCATGTGTTTCGCAAAACGTGACTGACACGTTAAGATGCTATGGTAGCAGCCTTGCTCTTGTTGTTGGGCCTGGTGAAAATGGACTGCTGTGCATTTAGCTGTCCTTTCAGGTCCCTCACCTTTTGGGAGCGTAGGGCAGAATTAGGAGGGAATCCCGTCTCGTAGCATTTGTGCACTGTTTTGAAATGCCGCTCCTAAATTACCCTTCTTCGGTAAAGCCACACTCACATTGCAGATGAGACAGATGGACTTTGAATTGGAATAGATAAAAAAATAATCATCCTCCCACTCGGAGTGAAAATTATATATTTTGGGCTTTTTTGCTTCTGCAATAATTACGGTCTTGTGTGTGTGCGGACTGTGGGTGTTTCTCAATCGCGAGTAAAGCTGCTTCCGAGCCACTATTTCAAGCATACTACGTCATCGAGTGCCGCCGAAGTACTGTTCCAATCTCCAGTATACTTGGAAATCTACCGAGCCCGGCGTACTCCGTTTGGAGAAATATCGAGTGTGCACATGAGTAGACTCCGCGGTCTTAAAATCCCCACAATGCTTTGCGCACGGACCAATTTCCCCAAATCTGTGGCGGAAGATGTAAGGCGGGGCCTCTCATATGACGCACACCTGCACACTTGCTAGCCCGTTCCACTCTTTGTTTTCCGAATGCCAGGAAGTATTCTTGCCTCGCTTCTGAAGCAAGATGCTCGGCAGACATGTGCTACCAAGCAAGCGTACTCGCGATTGAGAAACACCCTGTCACTCCTGTTGACACGGACAACGTCAGCTAAATAGTGCCCACTGCCCACTAGAGATGGGCGAGTCCTGATTCATCCGGATCATTAACCCGGATCCTAGAAATGAGCTGGTCATGACGAGTCTCCCCTCTCCATTAACCCGAGTCCTTGAGTCCCACACTTGGTGTAACGTACAAATTAAAACTATAAATTGCGTCACTCGCTACTCTCTTTATAACATGTAAAATCACATTACAACGTACCCCAAGTCCATCTACCTACCCTTTAGCAAGTATACAGGATAGCTGCCAGAAGTGATCGTTTGGCTCAGGGGAGGGGACGTGGATCAGTGAAACTTCCTGCAGACTCGTGGGGACTCAGAGGAGCCGACGGCTCCAACAGCAGACTCGCAGATTCGCAGATTCGCAAATCCTGACTCGCTGCAACACACAGCAGACTCGTGCGGACTCAGAGCCGTATATAGCAGCAGATCCAGAGATCCAGCAGACTCGTCGTCATGCACGAGTCCACACAGCAGACTCGGATTCGCAGATTCGCAGATTCGCAAATCCTGACTCGCTGCAACACACAGCGGATCAGACTCGTGCGGACTCGGAGCCGTAACCATATAGCAGCAGATCCAGAGATCCAGCAGACTCGTCGTCATGCACGAGTCCACAGCAGACTCGGATTCGCAAATCCTGACTCACTGTGTGTGCAACACACAGCAGAGCAGACTCGTGCGGACTCGGAGCCGTATATAGCAGCAGATCCAGCAGACTCGTCCTCATGCACGAGCAGACTCAGATTTGCCAAATCGCAAAATAACCCTTTTTTTTGTGATCAACATTTTTTATTAAAGCAAAATACACTGTGTAGCGGAGGTTAATTATAACGTCAGTTTAATAGATAGATAGATAGATAGTACTTTATTGATCCCAAATTGGGAAATTGTTGTTGTTACAGCAGCATAAAAGGCATTTTACAATAAAACAAAACTACAAAATATACAAGAATAGAAGTCGAAATAGAAAATATACATGCAGATATTATATATATATATATATATACAAATATATATATATTCAAAATATATGGAATAATAATATGCTCGTGAAATGCAACAACTTTTCGGTTTCACCAATAGGATTTCTACGGTCTTGGTCATGCTGACTCATATGACTCAAATGACTCGTATGATCCGGATCTCTTCAATGACTGACTCAGAAGACCCTGAGTCCGTAAAATGATCCGGATTTGCCATCTCTACTGCCCACCAGCCACGCCCCGACACATGGGGTCACGCCGGCCAATCTCAAAGCTTTGATGCGTTCAAGTGCATTATTCTGGCACAGGAAGATTATGTTTTAGCCCTTATGAAACAAAAATATATTGTAATATATTGGTAAATATAATACAATATACTGGATCATACATTTCCATATATGGGAAAGTAGTCCTTATATTTTTAAATATATTGCAATATATGCATGGACCATGTATGGCTATATATTGATACATATAAAAAAAAAATATTGCAATGAAAACAAAAACTGCACTATACATTTATATGTAATAGTTTTATTGAAACACTCATTTATCTTTCATGAGTTACACAAGTTTACATAACATTGAACAGATATTCATAAACAGTGATCTCACTTCGTTTTGTATAGTTACCCACTTTATATATGAACATATGTTTGATGGTAGCCTATATATTAAAAAAGTACAAATTGTCCATTGAATGATGGAAAATAATATACAGTTTATAAATATATACAGACACACACATATATGCACGCATATATATATGCATATATGCACGCATATATATATATGCATATATAAATATGCATATATATATACATATATATATAAATATGCATATATATATTCACATATATATATATATATATATATGCATATATGCAGGCATATATATATGCATATATGCACGCATATATATATATATGCATATTTATATAAATATGCATATATATATACACATATATATAAATATGCATATATATATACACATATATATATATATATATATGCATATATGCATATATGCACGCATATATATATGCATATATGCACGCATATATATATATGCATATATTACGGCCAACCGGCTATTTGGAGTGGAATGCAGCCCATCCACGGCAGACAGCCCAAACAGTATTCAAATGCGCCACTTCCGGCTGACAGTGGCTGACCTCCGTCTTCGCTAAACATAACTCTCTAAAACGTGTTAACGTTCTCATTGGACACATTACGTGCCAGTGATCATCACCAATCAATCTCACAGA